GTGCACACTGGGAACATTCATCATCAACCTGTGGCCTTACTCCATAGTTAACCCTTGTTCTTTAGCTGTTCCCTTCATCTGGCAACTCTGTGCATGTGCACACTGGGAACAGGCTCCAGCTATTCGTCTGCCTCAATGATGTCTGACTCCGCAGGCAGTCAGATAACTGGCATATGGTCCTGGCCGCCCGTCTGCCTCTGACACAGAGCCCTCATCAGAGCCTTCCCCAGAGTCCAGGACTGGCCCATGTTCCTCCCCAACCTCCTCACTTTCCGAATCTGCTGCCGGATCCACTGGCCGCTGGCGGGTCACAACACTATGATTGTGAAGAGTCAGTTTAAAGAGGTAGCACGGAAGATTGTGGGACAAGAGACAACATAGGCCTGAGTTGGATTGGAGTCATAGGAAGAGGGTTAGGATAGCTTTTCCCAAAATACATTTGTTAAGGTTAGAGTACTATATATTACTCCATAAGTTTATAGAATACAGGTAGTCCTCAACTAATTACCACAATTGAGCCCTATAAGTGAGATATTTGTTAAATGAATTTTGCCCCATCTTAAGACATTTCTTTGCCACAGTTGTTTAAGTGAATCACTGTAGTTGTTAAGTTAGTAAGCCGGTTGTTGAGTGAAGCTGCCTTCCCCAGTGTCTTTGCTTGTCAGAAGATCACAAAAAGTGATTTCATGACCCCAGGACACTGCAACCATCATAAATACGAACCAGTTGTCTGGCATATGAATTTTTGATCACATGACTATGGGGATGCTGCAAAGGTTGTAACTGTGAAAAAGGTCATAAGTCAACTTTTTTCAGTGCTGCTGTAACTTTGAATGGTTACTAAATGAACTGTTGTAAATCGAGGATTACTTGTAATCCACAATAAGTAACCCATACAGTAATAGAATAATCTATAGTCTATATAGGTTTAATTTGGTAAGATTCTGTCGATAAGGGGTAAGCTGATAAAACCTTGAACTTTGGCTAGATTGTTCTACGTACATCATCCTTGGGCTGGGCCAGACAGGTAGAAAGGTTTCTCTCCTTGATGTATGAAGATTACAACTAGACGTAGTTTCTGTGCTGGCTAAAATCTCACTACATCCTGTCCAGAGTTGAAAAGACTGTTTTAAGTTGGTGACTGTCTGTCTTTCCATGCCCTTGTAAGATAGCCATACCTCAGTCCCGTATGCAAAATCAATATTAAATGAACATTCAACATTCTTTTTCCTTGTACTTTCTTGCTATAGCTTATAAAATATGGCAGCTCCTAATCTCCCCTTTGCTTTTTAAAATTCTGTAAGCATTCATCATATCATTCATAAGCTGTTAACCTGAGACAAATGGCCTATGATTTCTCTTCTTCCTTCTCAACTGATATTATCCACATGGCGGAAATAATTGAACCACTAGCCAGTTCATTTACATATTAGTTTGCCTTTCAGGCTTTAGAAAATGAAACCAACATTTCTACTAGATAGCTTGGAAACTAAAGTAAGAGGAACGTGGGTATGTTGCCAAAAACAATAGTAAGGACTGTGCCAACTTATTTACAGCAGTGTGTTTATTGATTGTGTGCTGCCTCCAAGTCAATTGGTGACTGCCTGAAAAAGTCCCTGCGCTTTTTACCCCAGGACAATTATGATGCTCTGCTTGTTTGTGACAAGAGAAGCCAGTTTTGCAGGTAATCACGCATCAAGTCACGTACAGATTTGTAGTCAAAACAATACTTTGAATTGCATTGACATGTCTGTTGGGATTCCATGCTGGACTCAAAGCCCAGTCAGGGCAAAGGGCAGCACATGGGCTGCTGCATGCTGTATCAACAGCAGTTTTCAGGTAGTCTTCAGAGGCAGTCCCATACAGAGCACGTCACAGTAGTCTAGGTGAGTGATAATGAGCCTGTGGGCAGAACATCTCTTAGCCACCACTTCCACTGCTAACAGCCACTTCAAAACCAGAAGCCTTTGAAGTCACAGAACTGATCCTTCATGGAAGCGACGCTGAGGCTCACACAGATTTTGTAGCTGTGGCTTCTCGGCTGTTGGCCCCTCCAGCAGCCGAATCAGAGGAAAAGGAGGAGGCATGGGAGTCAGAGTCAGCAGCAAGGCAACCCGACACTTTGAGGAAGAAGATGGAATAGGGCTGGCAGAGAGACAGAGGCAGAGACTGGGCTGTCCTTCAGCCCTCAGATGGAGAGTCAACAGCCTCCAGGTCACCACACTAGGATAATTTATGATTCAAAGAATTGGCTATCCCCGGAAATAGATCATGGGATTAACCAACAGAGCACACTTCAAAGAGCTAAATATGAGCCAGCAGTGTGCCGCAGCAGCCAAAAAAGCCAATGCAATCCTAAATTGCATTAACATAGGTATACAATCAAGATCAAGTGAGGTACTAATACCACACTAGAAAGCCCTAGTAAGACCACACCTAGAGTATTGCGTCCAGTTTTGGTCATTATAGTATAAAAAAGATGTTGAGACTCTAGAAAAAGTGCAGAGGAGAGCAACCAGGATGATTAAGGGATTGGAGGCTAAAACATACAATGAACGGTTGCAGGAACTGGGCATGGCTAGTCTAGTGAAGAGAAGGACCAGGGGAGACAGGAGAGCAGGGGTCCAATATTTGAGGGGCTGCCAGAGAGAGGAGGAGGGGGGTCAAGCTATTTTCCAAAGCACCTGAAGGCCAGATAAGGAACA